GTATCACGTCATTTAAAGAAAGAAATTGAAAGACGCTTCAAACTTATTTGTCAAGCAGCAAACCCAGCAATGAATACTGTATCAACTACTGACTTTATGGTTAGTGAATAGAAATAATTTAAAGTCATTTTATGAACATTATTATTACAGTCAAGGTATTGTACTAATCTTGGTCTTCCATTAGCAGTTGAGTTCAGTTTGGTATGGGTGTGATTGAGCCTGCCTTAAAACCAGTGGAGTCATCAGTAATGATGAATGGTACTACTCCTGGGTTGACAAATGGTGGATACAAGATAAGGGAGCTTGGCTGATAGGCTGAGTGTGTTTAGTTACTCCTAGTGTTGTATCAGAGGGTAATGGCTCCCATGCTTACCTCAGTGGACTTTCTTGTGGTGCTGTCCTCAGAGAGAAGGTTAGAGAGAATAGTATTACCAGCTTCACATGTACTTATGTTGCATAGAAAGTTTTTAACTGATTCCTGTTAAATTTGGATTTCTTAAAAATTTTTAAGCTACTCAAAAATTGGGCCAAAGTCCCTATACTTTGGATAACTTTCATCAAAAATGAAAAATTAGAATTCAGCTTTTTACAATTTTTTCCTGATGCAAATAGATGGACTTATGTTGCATAGAAAGTTTGAGCTAATTCCAATTCAATTTGGATTTCTTACGAATTTTTAAAGTTCCTCCCCATCAATATCAATGATTTATATTAGTTATTAATAGTTATTAATTATTTTCCTCTCTCTCCTTTCAATAGGCTCCAGTCTTGATACACTAACAGTACTTGGTTCTCATAAAGGTGACGTCATTCTCCTAGCTAATGACAGTTCTTTAAACACCTCCTCCTCCTCCCAGCAACAATCTCTGACTCTCTCTTTAGCCTTTAGTATAGAGCCTAACATGGAGTCCTTCCAGTATGATGATACTCTTCCACAATATGTCGGGAAGTTGAATGACGTCCTTTTTTAATGGCCACTGCTGTTCACTCTCATCGAGGACGGAATTGTGTGTATCCTAATTAATGCCCAGCTATGCACATTCCTTAGCCTTGGCCTTTTTCTAAAAAATGGCTCTAAAATTACCCCCATTTTTATTACAATTTCTGATGCATATTGATTTCCTTATGCTATGTAGAAAGCTTGAGCTGATTTTGACTTAGTTTTTTTGAGTTACATGTAAGTGTACCTCCATTTTAAGAAATTTGCCAAATTCAAAAAAATACCTAAGGCTATAGCCCATAGTGTTTTCAGAAAAATGGCTAAGAAATTGCCCCTAATTTTTATTATATTTTCTGGTACATATTGATGTCCTTATGCTGTATAAGAAGTTTGAGCTGATTCCGACTTAAATTTTTCGAGTTATGGCCATTTAAAAAGTTTGCCAAAATCTGAAAATACCCAAGGCTTTTAGTATACCGTATACGCCATATATTCCCTTGGAATTTAATTTCACAATTGTCACGTTTTGGAAAATTTTTCAAACTTAAAACCTGCGAAATAGCATGCTGATTGCTGATTGTATAGTATGTATGGTAATTACATTAAAATCACAATTTTTATTTGCAGTAGGTATGGTAATTTCTGATACATATACAAATGCAAATGCAAATACATATGCAAATACAAAAATGCAGCTATATCATGAAATTTTATACCCGCGAAATATATGGCATATACGGTATATAATCCTTTCTTTTTCTATCCTCTTCTTATTATTTTGTCTCCTTGAGCTATGTACATGTACATGTACGTGTACATTAATTATTAATAATGTACAATTATGATCCTTAACTTCATTATTATCCAGTGGTCTACAGTGTCTCTAATGCTATGATCATTGCTGCCATTCATCCACTGGAATACTGTGTAGAATGTTTAGCTATAACACTCCAGGTAAATATTTACAATTTTATGATAAAATTAAAATTAAAATATCTCCTATTCTGCCCATGTTTAGATGGTCCCTCTCTCTTACAAATTCTGTCTTTGTCATCATTTCATAAAATCTCAGTCTCTCCTGATCTAGGAGTGTCTCTTAATTCATTGGATCAATGTTCCCTCCCACTCAATGCACTGGAGACTGGAACTGAGACATAGTGTCATTCTTCCTTAGGAATAGAGGTAAATGATTCTATTAATAGTAACACTGATACTATTTATAGTACAATGCTATTCATTGACACTATACTATTGTAGTATATGATATATCATTGTCTATTGTAGTTATTGATACTATTTATAGTAACGATGCTAGTGTACACGTTTGGTAGTGATGTAGTAATTCAAAAATTGTCCATTGCACAAAAATTTGTTGTTGGAATCAACTCAAACTTTTTTATTAGCAACAGACAGACAGACGTAAATAGTAATAATGATGTATATTGCTTTTCTTGGCTCGTCCCCTTAATGTTTTACATTCATCTTGTAATAATGTATCATTAATAATAATAATAGTTATAAACAGAACAAAGTAAGATACTATAGGCAGCCATCTTAACAAAGTAAGTGATAATAGAAAATAATAATTTCAACAAACGAAAGAACTAGGCAATTAACTGGTTTGATGTACAATATTTATCTCTAATGTTAGTAGCAATAGATTTCTCTTCTATTGTATCCAGTGCTGTAGCTAATGATGACCAACTGGGACCTCCTTTCTCTCTCACTTTATCT